TCTTTCTTGGAAGCGAGGTGCCTCGCAGCCGCGTCATAACAGGCTCTCTGACGGAAACCCACTTTCATGCCGATGTCCTCCTCGAGCCTTCGAAAGACAGCGTCGCGGAGCATCTGCTTCAACGTGCCGGGCGACTGAAGCGTCAAGGAAACCTCACAGCCTTGGTCGTTGACCAGGGTGCAAAAATCAGGCATGGTCCAGCGGATGCGCTCGAGGGGTTTCCTCATGGCCATCCCTCGGCCGCTGACGCTGCGCCAGGTCCGAGGCTTTCTGGAAAAGACGGCTTCCCAGGACTCACGGAGGCTGCTGAAAGGCAGGGTGGAGGGATGCACATGGCACTTGGTGTTCCACACCTCTTTGTGCCATCTAAGAATAGGCGCAACTTGAGCGACCCAGGTAGGATCGCGCTCCAAAAGCAGAAGAATGGACAAGCTTCTATTCCCAGCCGATGGCTTGAGGACGGATGCGAAGGACCTCCTGAGGCCCAGGAGCTCGGCGTCCGAGACGCCAAAAACCTCGGCCCCATAGGTGGCCGCAGGGAGCGGGCCCGCGACCCAGATGTTTCGGGCCCGCCGGCCGATTTGGCGCGTGAGCTTACCCAGGCGACGGGCCCGCATCTTCGCCCTAGCCCGTCGCTTCTTGGCCCTGTTGTCTCGCCCACGGTGCCTTAAAGGAGTGCCGACAGTGTCGTCGACGCCTAAGTTCGGGGCGGCAGGAACAATGAGACCCGTAAGCGAGGGGCCCAAACGCTTCTGAATTTCATGGCCCAGGGCTTTGTTAGACACAAGAAGCACAGCTTTGTCTTCGGACAGCGACGCGCCGATATCTTCGCTGATCACTCGCACAAGCTGTTCGGACCCTTGGACCACCCCTTCCAAAACTTCTTTGAATTCCCCATGCAGCATGGATGCCGTTGTCATCCACGTAGAGGCTTTAATCAACGCACGGGTGCCAGACTATCGAGTCCAGCCCCTCCAGTGAGTTCACCCTGATGAAGGCGGTGGCGAATGGGGCAGCCCGCCGCGAGGCCCTTGTTGGCCCACATCGCGATGGTGGTCGCGCCATGAAGGCTGAGATGCCGAGGGCCGCGGTATCCCTGGCATGCCAGGCGATCCACGCAGGAAAAAAACACCGAGCCTGCCGCATCGAGCCTGCACCTGGTCGATTGACAAGGTTTCGTAGTACTTGTAGAAGTCCCGCAGGAGCGTGGCCGCACACTGTCCTCTAGCAATCCCTGCTTCGCTCAGCAGGGATTGTCTCCAGACCGTGTCCGCAGCTCCCATGCACTTCCCAGCCGCAAACCAGGGCAGTTGATGCTGATTCTCCCAGGCCACGGCGACGGGCCTCCTAAGCCGCCCCCAGAGGCGGAACGGGTCACAAAAAATCCCGATGGGGCGAAAGCCTCCAACAGGCTTGGGAAGAAGCATCATCGTAACTCTGTGCACCTGCTCAGGGATGAGGGCAGACATCTCCATGATCCTGAAGATGTCCAGTAGGGTCCTGAGGGAGTCATCCGAGAGCCAGGAACAATGCCTCACATGGAAGCCGTCCGCACTGACAGCAGCCCTGGTTTTGCAACGCCGACTCGCAGCGCGGACCTCGCCGAGGTCGGGGCCCCCCAGGGGTTCAAGGGGAGAAAATCAGGAGGAGGGGGAGGGGGGGCGACCGAGGCTTGCCACAAGCCTTGAAACTTGATCGCCTCCGAGGCGAGCACGGACAGAGGGTCGCTGACAACAGAAAAACCGTCGGCCAGGACGGCCGTGGCCGTCCAGGCTTTGGGGGTGTCCGTGACCTGGTGAACCCTGCGCGCTCCTTGCTCGATCCCCGTCTTCAACCACTCATTCCATGAGGATCTTCCCCTAGCCTGGGCGGCCTGACACGCTTGATCCACAGCGTCCGACACTCGGCCCAGTACCTCTTTAGTTGTCTGCAATGACTGAAAACGAAGGTCGGCCCCCGCAGCCAAGTCAATGGCCTCAGTGAAGGGAGGGGCTAAGCCGCCCTGGGCTTTGGCCACTTGGCGGGGCGCAGAAGGCAGGGCCGAGCGAGCCGCTTGGACAGCGGTCGCGTTCTTGACACCTTTCGAACCATATCCTGGCACATGGTGGGGGGGAGGAACTAAAGCCTGCATCGAATGCAGGAAGACGATGAGGCGCTGGTGGAGCCAGCGCGCAGCAAAAAGGTCAGGGTGCCTCGGGTCCCTCATGTCAGAATCAATGAGTTTTTCCCAAATGATCTTCGGCTTAGCCCCTTCGGAGGCCTAACCGAATGTCCTGGTTGGTGAGCCTGCAAAGCTCGATCTCGGCAAGGTCCGCCCATTCCTGGTAGGCCCTGTTTAGCCCCTCCTGCGTAGCCTGGCCCTTTCCCGACGGGGCCGTTCGCGCCACCCCTTCGAGCTCAGCGCGAATATGATCGTACTCTGGCGGGGCGCAGGGCGGACCTATGCAACGATCGAGGCTGATCCGCGGGGGCTTTTGAAAAGCCATGACACGGAGGCGGGCAACGCACGGGGGGCACTTGAGCAAGGGGGGAGTCTGAGGAGCGAGGTCCGACACCCTATCCAGATCGATGGACCGCACAGCTTTGCTAAGGCCATGGCTAAGGACAAAATAACCATTGGTTCTTATACCCCAAGTAGTAGAGCAGGTAGGAGAGGGGGGAGAAACCAATGTACCACTGGCAACTTCGAGGAAGTCTGAGGTGGTGAGAGTAGATGGCTCGAGGTTGACATCCCCGCCGACAAGCCAAGGCAGCCCAGAAGCCCCCACGTATTCACCAACGCTGCGTAACACGGAAATGTTGGGCTCAGCAAGGCCCACACCGTGCAGGAGGTACGTGGAGACGATGGCGATGTGGCATCCACCAGGAACCTGGATGATACCCCCTATGGCTCTGCCGTCAAAAAGCGCATGGTTGCTGCCCAACGCGTGGAGTCCCAGAAAGTCTCTGACCAGGATGCTGACGCCGCCACGGGTACCTCCATTGTCCCCTGGGGGGGCTGCCGTCCAGAGAGATTTCCACCCGTGGCGAATGGCCCAAGCAGAGGCCTGCGCGATGTCCTCTTGGGACCTCAAATGATGCTCCCGGAGGCAAACAGCATTGGCAGGCGTCTGGGTGAGCCACGTACGGCCCGAACCCCAGCCTGAGACGTTGACCGGAGCAAAAATTAAAGAAACATCCGAGTCCTCGGAGGCCCATAAAAAGGGTGGATTGAGCTAGGCTAATCCCACGCACGCGCAGGGCTTCAATGGGCTTCTGTACAGGGCTCCGCCGACATGCTTTGAGCTATGTCGAGGGTTCTGGCCAATCGTCCCCATAACCCCTTAGGAGGAGATCCCTGAGCCCTCTGGAGCCCCATGGGTATGCTAAAGACTTGACCCTTCGTCTGGGACTGGTCTGGAAATGGCCGCAGCCCTCGACTTGAGGTCAACTCCGCTGCTCCCTTGGGCCGCGCCCTCGGGTGCGCCAGGCTGCTGGGCATGGGGCGGCTCTTTTGCCTCTCCAGGTCCTCCAGGGGCAGCAGGGCCTGCGGGCTCTGGGGGTGGCCACCCTCGTGGCTCGGTTGGGGTAGCGGTGCCGCCAGCTCCTGCCGAGGCTCCTGACTCGGTGCGACGCTTCTTGACGGCGAGACGGGTGAGCAGATCCTTGTGCTCGGACTTGATGGCGTCAGCCTTTTCGATAGCGGCAGAGAAAAGGGCGCGGGTCTGCTCACGTAGGCCCTGCTTGAGGGACATGACCAGCTCCTCGGCCTGGCGTTTGTCCTCCTCTGAGATGCCTTCGAGGTCGGAGCCCTCGAGCTGGAGCACGTCCCCCAACTCGATGGGTAGGTCCTCCAGCGAGCCGTCGAGGATGCCGCGGACCGTGAGAGCCTGCGGCGCCTGCTCCGCGGCGGCCTTTGGAGCGTAGGCTGAGTGCAACTGACGAACAAGGGCACCGTGTCGTTCTTCAGCTTCTTGCAGCTCGGTGCTGGGGCGTTTGACCTCCAATCTTTGTGAGTTGAGCTGGGCCTGCATCTGGTCGAAGTGTTCCACAACACGTCCCAGTCGTCCCTCCGCAGCTCGGAGCTTGTGGAACTCCTTCGTGATGCGCTGCTGGATGGGCGTCTCTTTGGCCGGGGCGCGGCGCTGATCCAAGACGGCCTGGTATCTCGCGGCGCCCACCTTGTCGCCGATCTTGCCCCGGGTGCGGACCAGGACTTCGAGCTCGACCGTGTCCAGCTGCGCCTCGTCGTGCTGGGCATCGCCGCGTTGAGTACCATTGCCAGCAGCAGCAGGAGGAGGCGGTGATGCTGAGTTCTGCCGTCGACCTGGCGGTGAGCCGCCCGCCCATACTCCCATGGGCGGCTGGGACTTGTCGAAGGCTGGCGCATGTCTGGTTGAGCCACAATGCTTGCAGACGTGGAAGCGCGGGTCGTTGCGCTTGCAGGGACAGTATGCACATGCCCATGAGCCAGGGGGAGGAGGGGCCTTCGGCTGGTTCTTCTGACGGGTGTCCGCCGCTCTCTGCACACCTGGTACCCTCGGGCCAAGCTAGAAGAAAGGATTGTTCGTGATGATGGGGGGTTGGGCGAATGGTCCTGTACCTCTAAGACCAGGTCCCGATCCTCCTCCTTGTTGTTGCGCCGCATACATGGCGGCTCCTGCGGGGAAGCGGTAATTGTGAATGAAAGCTGGGCGGAGTCGCGAACTCCTGGCCAGTAAGACTCTAAGGGGATCAAGGAACCACGCGCCTCAATCTCTCGAGCGAGGTTGGAAGTTCAGGAGAAAGGCCCCTTGAGCGAAAATGGCTACGGAGGAGGAGGAGGAGGAGGAGGAGGAGGAGGAGGAGGAGGAGGAGGAGGAGGAGGAGGAGGAGGAGGAAGGGCAGGCCCCGGGAGGCCGTGGAATGGGCAGAAGCCCCCCGCCGCGCTCTTCGCGCGAGGGGTCGAGGTCGAAGCCCCCGCCCTCGCCGAGGAGGGCCGCGAGCTCCCCACGCGGCTCTTCCACCTGCTGCTGCCGGCCATGACCCTGTCGTTCCTGGACGCGCTGCTGGTGGGCAGGGACGCGCTCCGCACGCGGGCCGCCGCGAAGCAAGGCTCCCTCGCCCCGTGCTCTGCCTCCCCTGACATCCTGTGGTCTGTTTTTTTGCAAGACGACGGCTCTTGCAGGGTTTTCCAAAACGACTGAACGCAGCAACGAGACACTAGCGATGCAGTGTTTTTTGGGTCTCTGGGCGCGCAAGCCGCTGTCGGGTTGCATCGCGCGTTCCAGAGTGTCGAGGCGCATGCCGATGTTGCCGATGTTGCATCCCTCGCCTCCGTCGAGAATCTCGGAGGAGGAGCATCGGCACCGACGCAGGCTTTGGCAGGTCCTCCTCCTTTCCCCCTGGGAGCCGGCGAGCGGGGAGGGGGGGGAGAGGTTCGAGGCTTTGGGTTCGAGGAGTCTTTTTACCCCTCAGGCCTGTAGGGGCCGTCTTCGGGCCCCAGGACAATCACAGCGGACTTGGGGTGAAAAACTGCTCCCGATGGACCCCCGGGGAGGGGACCGAGGACCGTTTTTCAGCGGATTTGCCCTTATCTCCAAATCGTGATCGATCTTCTCGGGGCCCATCCGGCTCAGACCCGTTGGCCGCTTTCAACTTCTCCCTCTTCCCATTGGTGCCGTTCCTGCACCGATTCCGTGACGCATGATTTTGCCTTGTTGCCCGAGTCCAGGGTATTTGCATCGGGCCTGGCAGGCTGGGGGAAGCTGCGTACGCTCGGCAGCCAGAAGTTGGAGAAACGCGGGGGATCGCATAGTTTCTGGCCCCCTCTTTCTCCCACATTTTGGCGCTCGAGAATCAGTTTTCGGAGGTCCGCACAGATTTCCAGGGATCGGTGCCCGACCCTCGGAACTCCGCTCGGATCCCCGGAGTCCTGTTCTTCTAGGATCGGGGCTCGAGGATGGTGGAGGTTCGAACGTCGAGGAACTTCGGCGTCCTTGGGCCTCGGGGGGCGCCCTCATCGTGGCCACAGCGGAGCCCGTCGCCGTCGCCGTCGCCGTCGCCGTCGCCGTCGCCGTCGCCGTCGCCGTCGCCGTCGCCGTCGCCGTCGCCGTCGCCGTCGTCGTCGTCGTCGTCGTCGTCGTCGTCGTCGTCGTCGTCGTCGTCGTCGTCGTCGTCGTCGTCCTTGGTCGTCGTCGTCGTCGTCGTCGTCCTTGGTCGTCGTCGTCGTCGTCGTCGTCGTCGTCGTCGTCCTCGGTCGTCGTCGGTCGTCGCCGCTCAGAAGGCGGTAGGGCTTTGGAGAGCGGTTGCAGGGCTTCTCGCAAGCGAATCGGCCTCTGAGCATCCCGGCAGCCTTCCGAGAGTTAACAGGCGAAGAACGGTATAAAGTAGACATGTTCGCTGTCGGGGGCGCCTGTCCCAGGGCGGCTGGCAAGTTTACACCTTACGGTGGCACGTCACAGTATAAACTTTCCAGCCGCCCTGGGGCAGCGCCCCCGGCGACGGAAAAGTTTGTCTTATACCGTTCTTCGCCCGCTAGGAGAAGGCCTGCCCCCTCTCACTTCCCCCCTGGGCTCGCCGCCGACCTATGACACGGCTCCCCCTTCTTACTGCGCATCGCACGATGGGGTCACCTCGGGGATCCAGGCCCGCAAGGCCGGCGGATGGAGAGTACATCGGCGCAGCGGGAAGGGATGGGCGGGAGGGGTATGATGTCAGATCTGGCGAAAGCGCATCAGGCTTGTCCCGCCATCGTCCCCCTTCGTCCCTCCTCCCCTCCCTCGTCCCTCCCCGCCCCTCCCCTGTCCCTCTCCCCGTTCCTTCCCCCCTTCCCCCCTCCTCCCTTCTCTCCCTCCCCTCGTCTCTCCCTCGTCCCCCCCGCGTCCCTCCTCCTATCCCTCGTCCCCCTTGTCCCCCTCGTCCCTCCCCTTGCGTCCCCACCCCTCCTCCCTCCTCCCTCCTCCCCTCCCTCGTCCCCCTCGTCCCCCTCTCGTCCCTCCCCCCTTCTTTTCTCTGCTCCGTCGGCTCTTGCCCCGCTCGTGGCCCTCGTCACTCCTCCCCTCCCTCGTCCCTCGTCCCCCCTTCCTACCTCCTCCCTCCCGGCGTCCTCTCAACTTCCCTCCTCGCTCCTCCCACTTGCTCCCTCTTCCCTCCTCCCTCTATTTCCTCATCCCTCCTCTCCCTCCTCACTCGCTCTCCCCTCCACCCTACTACTCTTCGTCCTCCCTCCTACCTCCTGCCTCGCTCCCTTTGTCCTCGTCCTTCGTCCCCCCCTGTTCATCCTTCATACTCTTCCCTCCTCGAGGCTGCTGTCAGAGGAGGAGGGGGAGGATGAGGGGGAGGAGGAGGAGGAGGAGGAGGAGGAGGAGGAGGAGGAGGAGGAGGAGGAGGAGGAGGGGAGGAGGAGGAGGAGGAGGAGGAGGAGGAGGAGGGAGGAGGGGGAGGGGGGGAGGGGGAGGGGGAGGGGGAGGGGAGGAATGGCAGGATTACTGTTTGGCTGGCCTTCGCGAATTCTGGCGGGCTCCAGCGGCTCCAGGGGGATCTCTCCCTTCTTCCCCCGCGGCCCTCCTGCTCGCTCGCGTCAGCATCGCTGCCGCGCCATGCAGTGTATGCTTGCAGCAATGTTGTCGCACGAATTGCTGCAGACAAGGCGTGCCGTGCGTGCGTGCACGCACGCGGCGCGACCCCGCTGAGCCGCCGAGGCTCGAGCCCAGAGGCCTTCCAGCATGCCGAGGAGCCCCAGGGAGAGGTCTGCCAGTCACCTTTGAATCAATGGAAGAAAAACCATCCAGGCCCGACAGTTGGCGTTTACTAAACGGCTCTGGGCGTTTACTAAACAGCCCTGCCCTGTTCGATTCCTTCTTTGGGCGCGTTTACTAAACGACTTCGCGTGTCCGGGTGGTTCTTCTGGGGTGCATTTTTAAACTTCTATTGAAGACATCCGTATTCATCAATAACCTTCTGAACAAAACGGAATGAATCTATGCCAGCCCCCTCGGATTGAGCATGCCCACTTTGGAAGGGCGTCTCTGTTCCGTCTGGGGACACACGCCGGCAAGGTGTTCTGATGGCTGCTGCTCCGATCTGAGGCGCCTCGCCTTCGGCTGAGCCGATGACGTCAAGACCGACAATCCGTTTGCCCAAAGCTGGACTTCTGGCTACCAGGTCTACCGGCTAAGCTTGCAGACGCAGCAGCCTTGGCCTTGAACGAGTGAGAATAGGCTGTCATGCAGGGAGGAAGCAACTCAGGGAAGGTATACACACCTGTGCACTCATAGCTCGAGAGCTCTGCGGCTTCATCGCGCCCCTCCCCCCTCCTGCCGGCTCGCGTCGTGAAGAAATCGGGGCGGGAGGTCTTCGCAACTCCCCGGCCTCAGGGTGCCCTTTCCGGGCTCCAGGACCGTCACAGACCGACTCGGGAGGAGAAGCAGGTCCTGGGCCTGTCCTCCCAAGGCCTACGCCCAGCCCGAAGCCTTGTCCCGCAGAGCCCGACCTCTAGGGGAACGAAGGATGACATTAACGTAAAAACTCGGAGGTCCACGCGGATTTCTCGGATCGGCGCTGACCTCCGAGTTTTTACGTTTATGTCACTGTTCGTTCTCCTACCCAATGCCCGTGCTGCGACCGGGGTGTGCCCTGCCGCAGGCCCAGAGGGTTCCAAAGGGGGCTTTTGGGGAGGGGGTCTTCCAGAGAGCCCCCCCAGGGGCCTCGGTGCCTCGTCAAAACGGGGGGCGCGAAGCCCCCGAGGGACCCCTCCTGGGAAACTCCCTCCCCAAAATCAAGTGAGGAAAAACCGCCCGGACGGACAATTGGCGTTTACTAAACAGCCCTGGGCGTTTACTGAACGGCCCTGCCCTGTTCGATTCCCTCTTTGGGCGCGTTTGCTAAAGGCCTCGCATGTCGGAGTGGTTATTCTCGGGGTGGATTTTCTGCCCTCGTCAAACCAGGGGGCGCGACGTCCCTGGGGGACCCCTTCTGGGAAGCCCCCTCCCCCCAAACCCCCTTGGGAGCCCTCCGGCAGGCGGAGGCCGCGGCCGCGGGCGGGTGGTTGGGCCGGGTCGTGCCCGCACCCGTCCGCCGAAGGCCCAGAGCGGTGGGGCCTCCAATCTGGGCCCAGCGCCGCGAGGAGGAGGAGGAGGAGGAGGAGAGGAGGAGGAGGAGGAGGAGGAGGAGGAGGAGGAGGAGGAGGAGTAGGAGAGGAGGAGAGGAGAGGAGTCAGGAGGAGAGGAGAGGAGGAGGAGGAGAGGAGGAGGAGGAGGAGGAGGAGGAGGAGGAGGTAGGGACGAGGAGGAGGAGGAGGATGATGATGATGAGGAGGAGGAGGAGGCAGGAGGAGGAGGAGGGGAGGAGGAGGAGGAGGAGGAGGAGGGGAGGAAGAGGAGGAGGAGGAGGAGGAGAGAGGAGGAGGAGGAGGAGGAGAGGAGGAGAGGGGGGGGAGGAAGGAGGAGGAGAGGAGGAGGAGGAGGAGGAGGAGGAGGAGGAGGAGGGGAGGAGGAGGAGGAGGAGGAGGAGGAGGAGGAGAGGCGGAGGAGGAGGAGGAGGAGGAGGAGGAGGAGGAGGATGGAGGAGGAGGAGGAGGAGGAGGAGGGGAGGAGGAGGATGCGGATAAGGAGGAGGACGAGGAGGAGGAGGGACGGGGGAGGCGGGAGGACGAGAAAGAGGACGGGGATGCGAGGACGAGGGGGGGAGGAGGGAGGAGGAGGCAGGAGAGGAGGAGGGAGGAGGAGGAGGAGGAGGAGGAGGAGGAGGAGGAGGAGGAGAGGAAGAGATTCGGAGGAGGAGGAGGAGGAGGAGGAGGAGGAGGAGGAGGGGAGGAGGAGGAGGGAGGAGGCGGAGGAGGAGGATGAGGTGGAGGAGGATGAGGTGGAGGAGGAGGAGGAGGAGGAGAGAGGAGGAGGAGGAGGAGGAGGCGGAGAAAGGAGGAGGAGTGAGGAGGAGGAGGAGGAGGAGGAGGAGGAGGAGGAGGGGGAGGAGGAGGAGGAGGAGGGGGAGGAGGAGAGGGGAAGGAGGAGGGGAGGAGGGGAGGAGGGGGGGAGGAGGGGGAGGGGGGGGGGAGGAGGAGGAGGAGGAGGAGGAGGAGGAGGAGGAGGAGGAGGAGGAGGAGGAGGAGGAGGAGGAGGAGGAGGAGGAGGATGAGGAGGAGGAGGAGGAGGAGGAGGAGGAGGTGGAGGAGGAGGAGGAGGAGGAGGAGGAGGAGGAGGAGGAGGAGGAGGAGGATGAGCAGGAGCAGAGAGCAGGAGGAGGACTAGTGCAGACCAAATGTCCATGAACGATGTTCGAATGTACCCTCTCTCCAAGCTCTCTCATCAGAGGCCCTTGCAGGGAGTCATGCCCACTGAGGGCAGTGCCCAGTTGGGAGACACCCGTTAGAATATGCTGAAGCGTTCCAAAACACCATTCTCGGAACTTCAACGCCACGATCCAACTGACTCGTGCCAGAACACCATTCCTGGGATTCGAACACAGCGAATCAACGTAACTGTTACGCCCATGGCAACCCTGAATCGTTCCAACACGTCATTATGATATGCTACTTATGTGGACCCGTTAAATTCTTAAGCTTGTTAGGGCGAATGTGTGCGGTGCTGCGGCGGGAGCCACATTTTGAAAGGGAGCCGCCCTCAAATGTGAAGATCTTGCATCTTCTCAAGGCAAATGTGTGCGGCGCTAAGACGAGAGCCACATGTTGAAAACGACCCGCACCCAATCCGTGACACTACTGCCAATGTTTAGACGAGTGTGCGAAGCGCTAAAACGTGACCCACCACAATTTGAACGACACCCACCCTTACTCCGTGAAGACCTTGCTCATGTTTAAACCGAGTGTGCGCGGCGCTAAGGCGAGAGTCACATTTTGAAACAGACCCACCCTCAATCCGTGAAGATCGTACACATGTGTAAGACGAGTGTGCGCGGCGTTAAGGCGAGAGCCACATTTTGAAAATCACCCGTCCTCAATCCGTGAACATCTGGCACTTTTTGCAACTTCTGTGCGCGGCGCTACGGCGAGAGCTAGATGTTGGAAGTGACCCACCCTCCATCGGCGAAATTTTTGCCAATTGTGAAATCAGGATCATACATGGGCAGGAAGTCTCAGGCGGAACGCCCAGCCCGCCCTTACGACCAGCCTCGGGGCGCTGCAGGGAGGAGTTATGTATAAGGAAGAGAAAAGGAGGAGGATGAGGATGAGGATGAGGATGAGGATGAGGATGAGGATGAGGATGAGGATGAGGATGAGGATGAGGATGATGATGATGATGATGAGGAGGAGGAGGAGGAGGAGGAGGAGGAGGAGGAGGAGGAGGAGGAGGAGCAGGAGGCCGCCGCCGCCGCCGCCGCCGACGACGACGACGGCGACGACGACGACGACGACGACGACGACGACGACCTCCGAGAACAGCTGGGCGTCTCCGAGTCCCCCCACCCCCGAGAGGCCCCCGAGAGCGCGCCCCGAGAGCGCTGCCCGCGAGGGAGACGCCGCCGCGAGCCCCCGCCCCTGGGGCCCCTCCGCGGACCCTCGGAGACCTCCCTGGGCTTGGCGGGAGCGGGCCCGAGCGCCTCGCCCCGAGCGCCTCGCCCAGGCCTCGTCGGCCAGCGCGGCGACGCCTACTTCTGCGACGACGGCTTCGCGGTGGGCGCGGCGCTGGTCCTGCGGGTGTTCGGCCTGGACCAGGCCCCTCCTTCGCCCCGTGGCTCCCTCCCTCTCCTCTCGTCCCTCCTCTCGTCCATCCCCTTTTTCCTTCCATCCCTCCTCCGCACCTCCCTCCATCCTTCCTCCCTCCATCCTCCCTCCCTCCATCCCTCCTTCATCCTTCCTCCTCCTCAACTTATTCCTCCCTCTCTCCCTCATTCTCCTTCCTCCTCCTCCTCCTCCTCCTCCTCCTCCTCCTCCTCCTCCTCCTCTTCCTTCTCCTCCTCCTGGACGTGAGTCGGCGCCTCGCCTCGCCTCGCCTCGCCTCCTCCTATTCCCTCTTCTTCTCCTCCCCCCCTGCCCTCCCTCCCTCCTTCCTTCCTTTCCTCCTTCCCTCCCTCCCTCCACCCCTCCCTCCCTCCACTCCGCTCCTCTCTACCTCCACCTCCACCACCCTTCCGGGAGGGGAGATGGTATCCACTTTATCCTTCTCTCCTCTCTCCTCTCCTCTCTCCTCTCCTCCCCTCTCCTCCCTCCCTCCCTTCCTCTCTCTTCCTCGTCCCCTTCGTCCTCTTCATCCTCTTTCCTCTACCCTTCCTCCTCCTCATCCTCTTCCATCCCCCGCCCTTCTAGGAGACCGTTTCTTTATTGCTTGGGGCATGACGGGCGTCATGGCCCCCGTTCCCCCCCCTATGACGTAACGCTCCCCCCCCAATGTGCTCCGGGCACTGCCGCCGTGCGCATTGGGATCTGCGTAGGTGTCCGCGTAGGAATCTGCATAGGAGTCTCGTCCGCAGTCGTCGTCGTCGTCGTCGTCGTCGTCGTCGTCGTCGTCGTCGTCGTCGTCGTCGTCGTCGTCGTCATCGTCGTCGCCCGTGGCTTGTCGCTCGTCGCTCATAGCCGTCGTGCGCGCGGACGCGGCTGAAGTCCTTCTTTTATTATTATTTTAAAAATATTCCGCGCCGATGACGGCAATCATCTAGGGGGGGTGGAGGAGGTCGATGACGTCACGTTTCGTGCCGGCGGTGTATGGGAATGCTTAGGAATGACGGAGGACGGGTAGCGCCAGCATGTAGGTGGCGATTTGCACCACAACGCCTGTGTACACCACAGTTCCTGCGTGCACCACAGCGCCTGTGTACACCACACCGCCTGTGTACACCACAGCAGCCGCGTGCAGCACAGCGTCAGTTTTGTGCCACCGTGTCTGAGGGCACAATAGCTCTTGTGCACACCACAGCGGTTGCGTACACCACATCAGCCGTGCGCAACACAGCACCAGTGTACACCACAATGCCTGCGTGCCTTGCAGTGCCTGTGTGCACCACGGCGCCTGTGTGCACCACAGCAACCGTGTACAACACAGCACCACTGTTGTATGTAGAATGCTAGAATGGATCCTTATGACAAAATGGAACGCTTGTGGATTACACAAAAACAACAGAAAATTATCCCTATGGACAACGGAGCGCCGCTGGAATCTATGAGTTCTCCCGAATCCGCCCGCATCACCCTAACTCCTCCCATCTGCGTCCAGGAGGCTCCAGGTAAATTGGCCGTCCGAGAACTAAGTGGACCGATTCAATAGACCATTATGCGGTGCGCGCTGAGATGCGCACGTGCGCTGTAGCGCCAACCCGCGCGACAGGGGGTAAGGAGGAGGAGGAGGAGGAAGAGGAGGAGGAGGAAGAGGAGAAGGAGGAGGAGTAAGAGGAGGACGAGGAGGAGGAGGAGGCGGAGGGGGAGGGAGGAGGGAAGAACGTCGCATTCGATTATCAGCACTTTCTGGGCGTGGCGTCTAGATGTCCGCAGCAGATCCTCACGTAGATGCTCCTTCTACCTGTCCTATGCACGCAGGCACTGTGGTGTACACCAGCGCTGTGTTGTACGCGGATGTTGTGGTGTAGACACGCGCTGTGGCGTGCACAGGCGCTGCGGTGCACGCAAGCACTGTGGTGTATACAGGCGCTGTGTTGCACATGGTAGCTGCGGTGTGCACATGTCCACCGGTGCTGCAGTGTACGCAAGCATTGTGGTGTACACAGGCGCTGCGTTGCACACGGTTGTTGCGGTGTACGCAGGCGTTGTGGTATACACGCGCGCGCTATGTTGCATGCGAGCGTTGTGGCGTGCACAGGCGCAATGGGGCATATCGCCACCTACATGCTGCTCGCGTCGTCGTCGTCGTCGTCGTCGTCGTCGTCGTCGTCGTCGTCGTCGTCGTCGTCGTCGTCTCTCGTCGCTCGTCGCTCGTCGCGTCGCGCGCGCGGGCGCGGCTGCGGTGCCGGAGCCACACGGCGGGGGGGGCGTTACGTCATACCCGCCCCCCGCCCACCCCCCCCCCATGACGCCCGTCATCGCCGAACATCGCGATCTGTTACCCTAAAGTTCAAAATACTGGCGGTCGCAAAGATGGAGGGCCGATCGTTTCTAAGGCGCCGCGATCATTCGTTTGAAGGCCACCAGCAGTCACGCAGATGGACGGCTGGTCGTTTTCCCAGTGCGACCCTCGTCGCAGCGCCGCGCACATTCGTCTTGAAAGTCTACGGGCGCCACATGGAGGTCTGGCGGTTTTCAAGATGCGGTTCTCGGGGGTCCCATCGCTGGAAACCTCCGTGGAGAGGGAGGGGGAGGAGGAGGAGGAGGAGGAGGAGGAGGAGGAGGACCAGGAGGAGGAGGAGGAGGAGGAGGAGGAGGAGGAGGAGGAGAAGGAGGGGGAGGAGGAGGAGGAGGAGGAGGAGGATGCGGAGGAGGAGGAGGAGGAGGAGGAGGAGGCTAACTTCCTGTTTCGCTGTCAGCTGGGAAGGTGGAGGCCTGGATCTTTTGCGGCACGGGGTCCCGCCCTAGCGACAGGCCAGGCCCGTCGAGCCCTCGTCACCGAAGGGGGACGCTTCCCGCAGAGGCAGGGGGGTCTTTGCAGGGACTTGTGGGGAAGTGGGCTTGGGATGGGAGGGTGTGCTGCAGCATCGTTGGTGCATCCTGGGTTTGCTCTGCTCCTTCTCCTCATTCCTGTCCTCTCTCCTCTGTCCTCTCCTCCCCTCCCTCCCTCCCTCCTCTTGTCTTGTTCTTCGCCCTTTCCCTCCCTCTCCCCCTCGCCCTCCTCTGTTTCCCCCCCTCCCTTCCCCCTCCTCTTTCTCTTCCTCCCCCTTCCCCCTGCAGCCATTTTGGCTCAAGGCAAAACGTGACGAAGGGCCATAAACGCCCGATAATCAGCGATTAGCTTTGGCTGCTCCGTAGCCAAGGTTCCAGCATTGTGGCACGATTTTCCGTGTTCGCTCCTTTGGGAGCATTGTTCTTCTCTTCTCGTCCCTGTTGCAGTCATGTCCTGGCGCTGGCGGGCGCCCTGGCACCAGAAGAAGCGTGGAGGCGGCGGCGCATAGTCGGTCAGTTCGACATGTGGCCACTGGGAGTATGACAAGCATGGGCAGGTGCAGTGCTCGAAGTGTGGAGGACAGTACCAGTCGTGACCGACCTGCTGAGCGCGCCCCTCGTGCCCAACCTGACCTGGGTGCCGAGTTCGACAGGCTCTTGGGCCTGTTCCCTGATCAAACTGAGTGCCTGCGTGCCGCTCGCGCCCAAGTACTACCTCGTGAAGTTCCTGAGCCTCCGCCCTTTGCGAACGATGGTGAACTTGACAAGCGCGTGGAACGTCAGCGGACCTCGCTGGCGTAGGCTGTGGAGAAGGACTCGAAGGCGGAGAGGATCGCCCAGTATGAGGTGGAGATCCGCCTTGCTGCTGTGGTCCGCTCTGGTCCAAGCGGCGGAGGCCCGTCGTAACGCGGTTGCGGAGCTGGAGGCTGCCGCGACCGCGCGCCGTTTGTCCTACGAGGCGATGGGCGGTTTCGATCCCAGGGCGTTCAAGGAGAAGATCATGCAGGAAAAACGGCCCGAGCATGCCAGGCTCGCCCAGGAGCGTGCGGAGAGGGTGGAGGCTGCGGCGGCCATCCCCCCTGCGCCTGTGCAGGCTCGCGCCGCCGCGCCTGCCCCGCGTGCCCCTCGGGCGGCTGCGGCGAGGCACCAGGCGCCTGCGGCGGCGCCCATGCAAGTTGATGGCGCACCTGCTGCGGCCCCAGCGGCGGGTGCTCCTGCGCCTGCTGCTGCACCTGAGCGAGGTGCGGTCGGTGTCCTTGGGCCTGTTCCTCAGATACCGCCCAACCTCGCGAACATGTCGGAGCCAGAGCTACGCGAGTGGTGCGATGAGAAATGCCAGCGGTATGAATACTGGGCCCAGATCAAGTTGTTCAACCTTCAGCTGCACGCTGATGACGCCGAGTCCTTTCTGTCTGAGGTTCAGGGCGAGGCCGAGCGCCAGATGGAGTTGGAAGCCCCAGAGAAAAAGGAGCGTGGACGATGGCTTATCCCCAGAGGAGCTCGGCGCCATGGAGCGCCTTGCGCAGAAGAGCGCAAGGCAAGGCCCAGGAGAGGATCCGCACCTTGCGGGGCGCGGCCCAGAGTTCCTTCGAGCGCGTTATGGCCCGGACGCAGCCTGTCTTTGTCGCTGGTGCTCCTGCGGCTGTATCCCCTCCAGTGCATGTGCAACTCCTTGTCCCTCGCGAGGCCGATGAGGCTGCCGCTGGCGATGCAGGGGGCGGCGTTCTACCGGCTCCCCGAGTTCGTGGGCGCTCTCGGGGCGCCCGAGATGGCCAGCAGGAGGGGTGGCAGGAAGTTCGATAAACGCGATGATGATGAGATATCCTTGCTATTCTGTAACATGACCAGTTGGAATCAAGTGACGTTGGATTTCTTGCAAGTGCCTAGACCGATCTGTGACGGCTTTTTCTGTGCTGAGCATCATCTTCGGTTCTGCGAGCTTTCCCGCGCCCGACGCAATGCTTCCCATATCGGTTGGAGGCCTTATTTAGTTCCTGCTCTACCTTCCCTTGGATGGCGTTCCCATTGGGGCGTGGGATGCTGCGTCTCCAAGGGTCTCTGCTTTAGGCGTTTCTTGGCCAGCTCTGGGCTCGAAGATCTGGGCATGGGCCCCAGTTGGATGTTTCTCGAACTTAGGGCGCAAACTTGTGTCCTTTCTGTAGGTGTGATCTATTTGATTTCTGACTTGGGCTTCTCGGGGGCCAACGTCGAACTGGCGCGGTCGGTTGCGGAGTTCTTGGGGGCCCTCGCGATGCCACGGGTGCTCTTTGGGGATTTCAGTATTCTTGCTCCCGACGTGGACCTCGCTGGCTTCCCGCAACATGCCTCGGCCCGCATGGTAGCGCCTGGGCGTGCGGGCGTCACGTGTGCCCAAGGTAGGGGTTCACTCATTGATTATGTCTTGGTGTCTCGTGATCTTGGGGATTGTGTTATCTCGGGGCCATATTTCCCGAGCCCCTTCAATGCCCGCCCGTGCTTGGCCCTCACCTTGAAGCGCCAGGCTTTTCACCGGGTGATGTGGCGACGGCTTCGACTTCAAATGTCCTCCTTGCTATGGTCCCGACTTGCCGTGGGATCGCATGGTGGCTGTGGTGGAGGATCCAGGCCCGTGTGAGGTGCCGCATACCTGTTCGATGCGAGGGCCCCGCGCGTGCAAGATTTTTCGAGCTTGTCGCTCACTTGTATGTATTTGCCCTGGCCCAGGGCGACCGGGGCCATCTTTGAGTCGCCTGCGGTCGCGCGCGATCAGTCTCCCAGCTTGGTGCATTGTGGAGACTTCGTGGCTTTTTGTAAAACTACCAGTGCTCGGAGGGGTCCGGAGGGCCAAAGTTTTCGGGGGTCTGAGTTGGCTTTCTGGGCCCAGGTGTTTCAGACGTGGATTGAATGCCGCCTGTATCGTGCTAAGAGGTCTCCGCGCATGCTTGCAATCATCGGCGCCCAGCTTACGGATCTTTTGCCGAAGGTTTCAGTGCGCCTGCGAGCTGGTTCTCCCCGACCACCTGCTCGGTGGCTTGCCGTCTTGGGTCCGCTCGGAGGCGGCGAAGGACATCTTCGAGCTCGACTTTGTAGCGCTCGACGAGATGTTCGACGCCATCTCTGCTGAACTTACCGCGTCCTGGTCGGCGGCGCGTAAGAGGTCCAATGAGGGGTGGAAACTTTGGTTGTTGCAGGCCCTTCCCCAGGGGGGCAAACGTTTTCGTTCGTGGTTGAAGCGTGATTCTATTGATGCCCCGCGGTTTTTGTCTCCCCTGGAGGGGTGCAGCAGCTCCAAGGTGATGCGATGAACCGCCGCCAAAGTTTTTGTGGCCGTGTCTGGCAGGGACCTGTCTCCCGCGCCATTGTCTCAGGTGTCCTTGATGCTTTCCGCCCGAGAGCCCATTTGCACTCAGAGGGGTTGGAACCTCTCGCTGTGTTGGACGTCCAGCGAGGAGCGAGGTGCTTCTCCGCTAGCACTGCTGTTGGGGTGGATCACTGGGCCCCGCGTCAGATTGTCGACCTCCCCCTCCAGGCTGGTGTTGGGGTTCGCTCGCATCCCCAATCGGTGCGAGCTTGCCATGATGTGTCCATTCCAGGTCTTTTCGAGTGTCATTGCGCTCCTGCCCAAGAGCGTTGAATGTGATGGACCTGCGTGTACATGTCCCGCCCTATACCGTGTGTATTGTAAAGCTCGGAACCAGGGCCGTGATCGATGGAGTGCTGATCGGTTTCACTTGTGCGACACCACTGTGCAAGGCTCGAGTGCCTTCCAGGCGGTCCTGTTGCGAGAGCTTGGTCGCGAGGTCGGTCGTGCGCTCGGGCTCTGCTCCGTGGGCGCCCACTGGGACCTCGCGCGCTTCTTTGGCATTCACGACCCTCGCAAGCTGATTGAGCTTTCTGTCGAGATGGGCTATCCTCTCCACCTCCTCTACTTGGGGATCCTCATCCACGTGTCTCCTAGGGTGCTGGAGGTGGGGTGGGTGGTGGTGGTGTGTGTGTGTGTGTGTGTGTGTGTGTGTGTGTGTGTGTGGGATGTCTCTGATCTCATGTATAGTGGGAACGGAATACTTGCGGGGTGTGCGCAGGCGATGGCCTGTGTCGAGATCTATGTGTGCTATATCGTTGACAGTGCTCGTGCTCTCTTCTTCCCTGTTCGTGTCAAAGCATATGTTGATGACGTCGCCCAATCTCAGCGCGGCACGCGGGGTGATATTCTCTCGGATCTGGCGCCTGCCGTCACGCCTTTAACGCGCTGGCTATCAGTTCGGGGTGCACTATTTCAGCCAAGTCTGCCCTCGTGTGTAGTCATGCTGGCCTGGGCCGTCAGCCAGCGGAAATGTTCCAGGCTACTAGTCTTCCTATCAAGCTGCAGGGGGCAGCTCGAGATCTGGAGGCCATGGCCCCTGCAGGCAAGCGCGGGCGAACTGTGGAGATGATGCAAAGGCGCGCGTTGGCCGCCAAGAGTGCCGGGGACATGGCTTTCATGAGTAGAGCGGTCGGAAGTGCTAAGGCGTTCTGCACACCTGGGGCCCTCGCTATCGGATTTTGGAGTCACCAGGTTGTTGGACTTACCTTGGGGCGCATTCGGGCTATGTGAGCCCGGGCGGCCAGGTGCTCTGGGTGGTGGGCCCCAGGGGCCTGCGCCACCACCGCCCTCGGGTTAGCTAGTCCTGCGAGAGATGACCCCCAGTTTAGGCTTCGGTATGAGCAACTCGTTGCCTGTCGTGGTGTCTGGGGGATCTGGATCACAAATCGAGGATGGAAGTTACGCAATGTTGGCAACGGAGTCTGGGCATCCTGCGTGGTACGAAACATCGGTGGCTTAAAGTTCGGGGTCCTCTGGCTGCTGCCATCTCGGTCCTCTTGGATTTAGGTGCGGATCCCAAGAACCCCGTCCCCTGGGTCTTCCCCGACAGCGCGGTGCTGCGCCTGACGGGTGGCGATTGCCCGCGCGCGCTCTGGATGGCCTTCCAGAAGCTCTGCGTGACCATGTCTTGGAGCACGGCCTCCAACCACTATTTAGGGAATTTGTTGGAAGGAGGAGTTGGTTTCGCGGTCCCCAGGAGATTTTTGAAAACAAGCTGGAGGAAGAAGGGGCCATTGAGGCCGCTGGGGTGCTTCGCAATGTGATGACTGCTGTTTTTTTGGATGGAAGACAGGCTTCTTCAATCAGGTTATGACTCTGTCAGCCGTGGCCTGTGCCTTAGATGTGGGATTGCTCCCGGGACCGCAGTCCATCGGTTCTGGCAGTGTCGATGCAATGACGATCTGGTCGATTCGGCGATTGGCCTGACGGGCTCTCTCCAAGCTGGAGCCCTCCACCCTGATTCGTCCTCCAAATTTTGGCGTCGCGGCCTGCCGCCTCTCCATGATGCCATTGGGCACCTCCCAGACCCGCAAGCGTGGGTTTGGGAATGGGGGGGACTGCGGGACGGGGCCAAGAAAAGGGTTGGCGTGTGGGGGGTGGATGGCTCCGGCGGGAAATATATGAAAGACTGGCGTCCCCGTCGCTGTAGCTGGTCTGTAGTCCACCGAGGTGCTACCCACTGGTTTGACGGCGTTG